TTGTCAGTCTGTGTTTAATAATATTTTGGCCCCAGACTATATAACGGAATTTATATCAAAGCTACATTACTGTCGATCTCTCCGTTCTTGTCATCCCAAAATCCAACCTTTAAAGGGACAACACTCTTGCTGGCTTAAAAGCTCCAGAAAATAAATAATATCTCTATCTAAGTACTAGATGTTTAAGTGTCCTACCTGTTGTGTAAATTATCCATTACATCCTATTTTACTTGTCCAGAGGGTTCGAAAATATTTTTAAATCGAAGTTTCATTTGAAAAGGTTTACGTTAGACGTTGAATTTTTCAAAATTTTTAAATAAGGTGTGTTAAGATGAAATTTGTATCATCAATTAATTGAAATATTCTAAAATAGTACAATTTGTTGACCAGAATAAAGATTGGGACATATTATTCAGTTACAAGAGTGGTATTGAGCCTTTAAATGAGTAGACGATCGTTCCAATTAGCTTCACCCATTCAATCTCATCTAATAGCAACTTGAAGAACTCTGAATCAATTGACATATTCAAATAAAAACTCAAAACTTATTTGTTCCAATTACACTTTGGTAATTGGTGGATCTCTTCATCAAACACGCGCCTTTGGAACCATTCGTTTTGGTGTTTAGGCGCTATATAAATACTTAAATGTTTAATATTTTTTATAGGTTTTGGTGTTCCAACATTAAGATATAAAGCTCCTAGATTATCAGATGGTAACGAAGAACCATTTAAACCAAGGTAAGTTAATCAGATGCCCCTTTACCATTTAAACCAAGGTAAGTTAATCAGACGCCCCTTTATGGCTGGAGAATAAAAGCTCATTTCTCTTTCTCACAAGGAAATGGTTAATCCGTCAGTGCAGCAGACCAGTTTGGGCAGAACAAAAATTTGGAAAATCTTTTTTCTACTCTTTTAACATATGGCCCCTTGACGAAAACCACTTTTCAACAAGGGGTCACAACATGAAGTTTTAAACATATCATCATATTTATGTTTTGTTGCCTGGCAACCTATCTTTGAATTTGATATTTTTCAGTTCCTTGTACTGGACAGCGCCTGAATTTCTAGAAACGGCTAAAACACTTGGTGATGTTGGCAGTGGATCTAAAGCTGGTGATATTTATTCGTAAGGCAACTGATTTATATTTTGTATTTCTTTCTTGGGTAAAAGATAATTATAGACACTCTTTAATGTAGTTTGGGAGATCAAGGGCTATAATCCATGATCAATTTGACTAAAAGGGTTGTCTAATTTAGAAAAAAATCATTTTAAAAAGTCTGAAAAGTTCATAACGAATGAAACTTGTCACTTAAAAATTGGGATAACCGGACGGATCACCTACATTTATCTACTCTATTATTATACCATGTTATATTCTGGTTGCAGTTATGGTATTATTATAACATGTTATATTCTGGTTGTAGTTATGGTATTATTATAACATGTTATATACTGGTTGTAGTTATGGTATTATTATAACATGTTATATTCTGGTTGTAGTTATGGTATTATTATAAAATGTTATATTCTGGATGTAGTTATGGTATTATTATAACATGTTATATTCTGGTTGTAGTTATGGTATTATTATAACGTGTTATATTCTGGATGTAGTTATGGTATTATTATAATATGTTATATTCCGGTTGTAGTTATGGTATTATTATAACATGTTATATTCTGGTTGTAGTTATGGTATTATTATAACATGTTATATTCTGGTTGTAGTTATGGTATTATTATAACATGTTATATTCTGGTTGTAGTTATGGTATTATTATAACATGTTATATTCTGGTTGTAGTTATGGTATTATTATAACATGTTATATACTGGTTGTAGTTATGGTATTATTATAACATGTTATGTACTAGTTGTAGTTCTGGTATTATTATAACATGTTATATTCTGGTTGTAGTTATGGTATTATTATAACATGTTATATTCTGGTTGTAGTTATGGTATAATTATGACAGAAATGTGTTCACGAGAACAACCATATACAACAGAGTTACAGCATTTAGAACCAATGGATATTTTACATCTTGTTCAAGATAAAAATAACCCCAAATATAGCAAACAAAAACAGGTATTTATATTGTTCAAAACAAAATCATAGAATATATTACATTATTCACTTTATCAACAGTAATAAATGGGTGATCATATTAAAAATCCAATAAAATGAAATGTAAACAAAATTTTTGATTAATTAGTTAAATAAATAACATCTCCACAATATCTGGGTGCGTATTTAAAGGTTTTCTTAGAGTAAAAATAATTAATTTTTCCACTTAACTAAATGTTTTATTTTAAATAAAATCAGTATCCAAAGGGTATGTTACATCTCCTTGGCTATGTGAAAACTTAACTGTTTACTTAAATTATAGAATACCATAATTTCTAACTTATGAAATACCCGCCATTGCAAAAAATCATGAATTTCTAACTTCACATGCAAGTTATGTCCCCTTAAGAGCACCAATATATTCATAATAAGCTAGTGTTTGTCTACAGTTAGCTCCCGCTTGAGAACGGACATGGTTTAAATAAGCTGGGAGAAATTTGCAAATGACTCATCGTTACTTAATATCGCAACGATATCTGGTCTTTAAATTTTAATGTTTTCATTGTGTGTAGATCTGGTCTGATATGGGTACAGATACGAATAAACCGTTCAGACCTGCAGTTGACGACACAACAATATCTGATGATTATGAAGTTGTTCGTAAAATGAAATTGGTATGTATGATTCTATCAAATAAAACCAATTTGATTAAAACACAGAATCTATTTCATTTTGTTTTTTATAGTTCAAAATTTTTTTACTTGTCATAACTACACTGGGATCTGGAAAAGTTCTTATAAAATCTGTATTCTGGATGGCATGAGGGATTAGCCAATGAAACCATCTAACAGCAAGTTCTTGCTGTGCGATGCATAGAACCGTGGATAAATCACTAGAAACATCAACTCTGATTGATTAATCAATGTCTGACATCATAGGGTCAATAGCTGTTCGCATGACCTCTGACACAATCTTTTACTACAGCTGGTCAAATCTTCATGTGGTGTAGGCCATTGAAAGTATAAAAAAACAAAACGAAATATAGATCTGTATTTTGATCATTTCAGGCCTCGTATATATATGAATGTGGTATCCCAATTATCAATATATTTGGAGATTTCTTTTTATCGTGGGGCACCCTACAATAATTTGTTCACATTTGTTTGTGGACACTCTACAGGTCACAATTTTTATCTGATTTTGAGGAAACTTGAAATATAGGTTTATATCACAAAGAACTCGGTTCCTTTCGAAATTGACATGTATTGGATTGCAATGTCATGGATTATGGCCCTTGATTGTACGAAAAATCACGGTTTTTGCTTATGGACACTTTTTATCTGATTAAGATGAAACTTAAAATGTATGTTTATAATCCAAAGATCTTGGACAGGAACTTCTTGGATTATGCCCCTGATTGTACGAAAAATCACATTTTTGGCTTGTGTATGCAAATAGTGTAAAAGTATGTAATACCAAGGTTGTGGGCCCTCTAGAGGTTACAATTTTTGTCCCATTCTGATGAAACTTAAAATATATGTTGTCCAAAGATCTCAGTTCCTATCGATATTCACACATTTCAGACCATAACTTAATCGTGTTTTTCGCTTAAGGTCACAATTTTTTATCTGATTTTAAAAAAAAGTGTTTGAATAAGTTTGATTTCATGAAAATGGGGCCAAAACTGCTAGACAAAGTGGCCAATTCCCACCCTCAAATGGGTTGTGGACCCTGTGGAGGTGACAATTTTTATCTGATTTCAATGAAACTTAAAATATATCTTTATATCCTAAAGGTCTGGGTTCCTTTTGATACTTGAGTCTAGCGAATCATAACTTCCTGGATTATAGCCCCTCATTTTACGTAAAATCACTTTCTTTAGCTTGTTCTTTGTCCAACTCTTGCAAAATGTGGGTCTTTATTGCCTGGCAACTGCTGGTTATGACTAGAGGAAGACTTGCTAGTATTAAACATTATATACATGTGAAACAAGTCATGTTTATTATTGTAGTTAATGGACGAATGCTGGAATGATATACCCGAAAACCGACCAACCTTCCGACATATTTTAGAAAGTTTGAATATAATTCATCCTGTGAAAGGTGAACTCATCGATAATTTAGTCAATATGGTGAGTTATAAAATAATTCTTCTCTATATAAATCAAAGATTAACGGAACATATATCAGCAAATGGATTGGAACTACCCATACTTGGTTTCGTTCATGGTATAGACAAAACAATCAAAGTTTCATGTAGTCATTGGTGTACACGTAAAAAAAAAAACGTACAAATTTAATGTCTATGAAAAATTTCACTCATTTCTTATTGTATGGCTAATGCCTGTAACTATTGTATGGCTAATGCTTGTCATCATTGTATGGCTAATGCCTGTCATCATTGTATGGCTAATGCCTGTCAACATTGTATGGCTAATGGCTGTCAACATTGTATGGCTAATGCTTGTCATCATTGTATGGCTAATGCTCGTCATCATTGTATGGTTAATGCCTATCGTCATTGTATGGCTAATGCCTATTATCATTGTATGGCTAAAGCCCGTCATCATTAGTCTGTATGGTGGGAAAAAGTAGTATGTTAAACACTATTTCATTGATGGTATGAAGAATGAGTGAAAAGCTGCTGTCTGGGGAATAATTTCTTCATAGGACAGGTGGTGCAGAAAAGTAGGATGTTAAATTTCATTTCTTGCCCAATATTATTTCTTGTTGTATACTTATCTTTTATTATTAAACCCGGGGGAACACGTGGCTAAGCGGGTAAGACGCTGGCTCGCTAGCCTGGAGGTCGGGTGTTCGATCCCTGCATTGGCAGAGAAAGTTCACCCAGTTTAGAAGCAGAACAGTAGGACGTTAAACCCCATTTCATTTCATTTCATTTCATTTCATTTCATTTCATTATTAAACCCATGAAAAACATATTTATTTTATAGTTAGAAAAGTATTCCAGTAATCTGGAAGCCATAGTTGCTGACAGAACTAAAGATTTAATGATAGAAAAAGCAAAAACTGAACAACTTATCAGTCAAATGTTGCCAAAGAAAGTTGTTGAAGATTTAAAACATGGCAGGAAAGTTCTACCAGAAGCTTTTGAGTGTGTGACCATCTTTTTCAGGTAAGTGTGAGGGTGGGGGGTAAGGGATTGGTAGGTTAGTGTGATTTATTACTAATCTTTTATTTTTATTCGAGCATCTGTTAGTGTTTTTTGTCATTGCCCCTGTCTGTCTACTCATAGTTACTGGTATATCGCTGATTTTCAAGTACAATTACAGAAATAGTTAAAACATACATTATGCAAGAGCTATGAGACCTAATTTGTTTTTAATTGGCTTTTATAGAACAATCTGATTAAAATACAGATCTATATTTCATTTCGGTTTGGTTTTTTTTGATACTTTCGATGGCCTACACTACATGAAGATCTGACCAGTTGTATTGGGAGGTTGCGTCAGGGGTCGTACGAGCGACTTTTGACCCTATGACGTCAGACATTGATTAATCAACCAGCGTTGACGTTTCTAGTGGTTTACCCACATTTCTGTTCATCACACACCAATAAGTCGCCGTAACAGATGGTTTCATTGGCTAATCCCTGCTATCCATAACGCAGCTTATATATCAACTCATCCAGATCCTAGTGTTGTGAAGTGAAGACAAGTAAAACGAAATTTTGAACCATGAAAAACAAAACGAAATAGGATCTGTGTTTTAATCAGATTGTTTATAGAATTATTTTGATATAAATTTTCTTTCCAGTGATATTGTTGGTTTCACAGCTATTGCCCGTGATAGTACACCATTCCAAGTTGTAGACTTACTGAATGATCTGTACACAACGTTTGATGCCATTCTTGATAATTATGATGTATATAAAGTAGAAACTATTGGGGATGCTTGTAAGTCAAATATTATTTTAATGATAAAGTGTCTGTTGTGACAGGCGGATTGGATGGACGAATGGTTAGCACGTGCATGTTGTATCATAAGGTCTGTCATAGAGTCAACTCGCGTGGTTTCTATTCCCCAGTTGTACGTGACAAGGAGTAGGGTCGTTTGTCCAACCTCGTGGGATTTCTGCATGTCCTCGAGTTTCCTTCCACTGCTAAGGACCCCTACACGCAATCAAATTACTGAAATAAAAATTGAACCTATGTTAGTCCCGAAATGACCTAGTTTCTGTCGAGTGGGCGTTACCTCATTTCTCCCTCTTTGTTGTGACAATAGAACTCATTTAACAAAATCTGTTGGTGTGCATGGTAAAATAACCCTTGATCATTGGAATTTGATATAAGAGTAGGCCATACTGCCACTGTCGGGGCAAAATGTCCCTCATGGTGTATGCCTGTTTGGTGAAGATAAAAAGTATGATCCTACTGTATGGCCATGTAACCAAGCAAAACGTCATTGCTGCCATCTTGGAATGGGATGTCATTCCTTTAAACAAGCATGGCAAGTTTTATGTTGGTCAAATTTGAATTTTTGGAGCCATAAGCTTCGTCCTCGAGTAGAAGAACGGGATGAGCAGTGCCTGGAGACGAATTTCTGATTCAAATATCTAAAATATATTTTTATAAACAATATAGTGGTATATTGAATATCATTGTGGTCTGAAACCTTGCGTTTAAGTAAGTATAAGTTGTCTCCCTTATGTTATTGTTCTGCCTTTTAGAGTGATAAAGATTGAGATTGATTTCTAACATGGAGAATGGTTGTTTTTCCCTTTCACCTACAAGTTTAATGTAATATTTTGATACAGATCTAAATTGAGTGATAAGTTTAACATGTTGTTTTTGTAGATATGGTTGTAAGTGGTCTACCTATAAGAAATGGTAAATTACATGCTGGTGAAATTGCGACAATGTCTTTAGATTTACTTTCTTCTATGGTTGGTTTCAAGATCCGTCATTTAGAAACTACCATGTTACAGCTTCGTGTTGGAATGCATTCTGGTTTGTTTTAATTCAACAATAAGATTAATCTGCTTTTGACAATACATTGAGTCGACTGGCGTGGTTTTGAATCCCCAGTTGTACGTGACAAGGAGTAGGGTCGCCTGTCCAACCTCGTGGGTTTTCTCCAGGTCCTCCGGCTTTCTCCCACTGCTAAAGACCCCTATGCGCAAGCGAACTATTGAAATATAATTAAACCATATGTTAGTCCCGAGATGACCTAGTTTGTGTCGAGTGGACGTTAAACCCCATTTCTCTCTCTTTTGACAATACTAGTAATGGCAGTTGTGGACAGAGAGACCTGTAACTGCTTTGTAGAAGCTGTCCAACTTGATATTTGAAATGTCTTCATTTCCTATATTTCTGAGTAGCCTACATATCCTATACTTGAGTAGCCTACCAGGTCCTATACTTGAGTAGCCTACTAGGTCCTATACTTGAGTAGCCTACTAGGTCCTATACTTGAGTAGCCTACTAGGCCCTATACTTGAGTAGCCTACTAGGCCCTATACTTGAGTAGCCTACCAGGCCCTATACTTGAGTAGCCTACTAGGTCCTATACTTGAGTAGCCTACTAGGCCCTATACTTGAGTAGCCTACTAGGTCCTATACTTGAGTAGCCTACCAGGCCCTATACTTGAGTAGCCTACTAGGCCCTATACTTGAGTAGCCTACTAGGTCCTATACTTGAGTAGCCTACCAGGTCCTATACTTGAGTAGCCTACTAGGCCCTATACTTGAGTAGCCTACTAGGTCCTATACTTGAGTAGCCTACTAGGCCCTATACTTGAGTAGCCTACTAGGTCCTATACTTGAGTAGCCTACTAGGTCCTATACTTGAGTAGCCTACTAGGCCCTATACTTGAGTAGCCTACTAGGTCCTATACTTGAGTAGCCTACTAGGCCCTATACTTGAGTAGCCTACTAGGTCCTATACTTGAATCTTTGGGGCATGCAATCATTGAGCTGTTCCCTGGCATCACTAAACCTCTGCATGTCACTGAGTACTGGTGTTAAATACTACAGGTCCATGTGTATAATATATAATTTTATATACTTCATTCAGATCCATGTGTATAATATATAATCTTATATACTTCAGGTCCATGTGTATAAAATATAGACTTCAGGTCAATGTGTATAAAATACATAATCTTGTCGACTTCAGGTCCATGTGTATTATATATAATCTTGTATACTTCAGGTCCATGTGTATAATATATAATCTTGTATACTTCAGGTCCATGTGTAGCTGGTGTAGTAGGTTTAAAGATGCCTAGGTATTGTTTGTTTGGTGATACTGTTAATACAGCATCTAGAATGGAATCTAGTTCTATAGGTGAGATTGTTTAGGCCACATAAAATAAATATTCTGATTCGCAGACAAACCATCCTCAATATCTGAGGCAGGAGGAAGGGTTTGTATTTTTATTTTGTCAACGAGCTGAAATGGGGTTTAACATATTACTTACCTGCCCGAACCAGGCTATTGAAGATGTTTTCGCCTACTACACATCAAATTCCAACTGTCAAATTATTTTTTTTTACATACCAGACAACAACAGCTGTCTGGTCGTTTAGATAGGACGAAAAACAGGTCTCGTGTATACATTGGCATGCATGTAAAAGATCCCTTGAATAGTAGGACGTTAAACTCCATTTTATTTATTTTACATAAATGCCAACGTTTACATCTGAACAACTAGATGCTGTGCCTTGTCAGGCCCTTTGTTCTGCACCACTGATAAGGGGAAACTATGCGGGAAAATCCTGTGGGTCAAATTTGACGAAATTCGTTTCGTTTTGTTATACTTTCGATGGCCTACACTACATGAAGATCTGACTGGTTGTAGTACAAGGTCGCGTCAGAGGTCATACAAGCAACTTTTGACCCTATGACAGCAGATATTTGATTAACCAATGAACTTTGATGTTTCTAGTGGGTTATCCACAGTTTTGTGCACCTCTCGCCAAAAAATCACCATAACAGACCATTCCATTGGCTACTCCCTCACACCATCCAAAATACGAGTTAAATAACAACTCTTCCAGATCCAGGATGTTTTACCTGCACGCCAATGTATACACGGGACCTCAGTTTTACGTATTATCCGAATGAATAGTACGTCCTATCTAAACGACCAGACAGCTGTTCTTGTCCGTTACACATTATCTGAATGAATAGACAGTTGTCCTTGTCAGGCCCGTAAGAGTACTGAACAGGCATCGATATTTCCACGCACATGCGCACGGCGTGCGCAGGCACATTTGCTTGAAAATATTTTTTTGCAGGCACATTTTTAAAGATGTAGCCACGCCAGGCGGCGTCTGTGCCCGGCACTATTTTTTGCCGCCCAGCACAAAGAAAAAATCGAAAAAGGCCCAGTCGTATTTAAACCCCTTCGTCCTTCTCTGACACAAACTCGGCGCTCGAAATTTACCACGGCAATTAAACAGCAAAGCCATGGTAAAAGCCGACGTACGCAAACCATGTCTGTCACGGCATAATTTATTTTTGTGTGCCGTAGTAGACCCTATCATCCCAAATTAGTTTAAACAAAGATGTATTGGTATTTTGTTTATTTATACTTAGAAGATGTGTAGGCCTAGGTCTATTCATTTTACAATTATTCTACGGTCTTTATATTTGTTTATTTGCCGTAAATAGGTCACCCAGACCAATTTACGGCACTCCAATGTTAAAGGTTTGAATGTCGTAATTGTCCAACACGTGCCTGCAAATTTTCACGATGATCTTATTTTATTTCTTACCTGTGTTGACCGTGGATTTGCTACGGCCCAAGAGTAGGACTAGGAGGACGATGAGAGCTTTCTCAGTTTCTGCCTGACCTGATTCTCATTCCACCATAATGATAATAATATTCGTAAGACACGTACAACAACTTTACAAACAAGTCAAATAATACAACGTGTTTTAATTATCAATATCTACCTGTTGTCATAATTCGTTGTACTCAAATAAAACACAAACACTGTTTTAAGAATCGTTTTAATTTTTAATCTCAAAGTAATAAAGTAATATTTGAAAAAAAAAACCCCAACAAAACAACAAATACCGAAAGGTCCTCAACTTATCTATCCAGAGAAACAGAGTGGGGCGGGACAATTTTATGCTCGGTCGGGTGGTGTCAAAAAGTTTTTAGATCCCTGTATCATTGATGAAAATTAAGTGAATTTGGTAAAATTTGAATATATAAATGGGAATTTGATTTGCACTGAACCAAATACAAAAGGCAGCAGATGTTCTGAAAATACACAAAGAAGGGTTTAATTTTCATAACAGACCATGCCCCCCTCCCAAAAATTTGTTTGCCTCGCTCCGCTCGCCAGATATATTTTTACACCACTCACCAAATCCTGGCTACATCCCTGTGTTTCAGTATGACCCTGCAGGCACATTTTCAAGTGTGTGCGCAGGCACATTCAACTTTTATAGAGCCCTGGTATTGAAACATTGTATGTAATAAAATAACAAGTAGTAAAGCTATATCCTTGTGTTATTATGAATTATTTATGTTATTCCACAGCTCTGAAGATTCATATGAGTAGTAAAACAGCTGATATATTAATGGAGTTAGGAGGTTATATATTAGATTGTCGTGGTGAACGAGAAGTAAAGGTAAGTGTGGATCTAAAATATTCAATATAATGAATCAAGATCTATAATCATATCACAAATCAATTAGTTCATAATAGGGTAGTTGACTATCCTCGTGAGAGAAATGGGGTTTAACGTCCACTCGACACAAACTAGGTCATTTCGGGACTAACATATGGTTCAATTTTATTTTAACAATTCGCTAGCATGTAGATGTCTTTAGCAGTGGGAGGAAACCAGAGAAATCCACAAGTTCAGACAGGTGCCCCAGCCCCTACTCCTTGTCACGTACAACCGGGGAATCGAAACTACGGCAGTTGACTCAATGATAGACCTAATGATGCAACACGCATGCACTAACCATTCGACCAGTACGGTGACATGATGTGGATAAGTATGTTAAACGACATCTTTACATTATATTGTACAATTTGTGTTTTTAGGGCAAGGGAATGATGACAACTTACTGGTTAGATGGAAAAGATGGCTACGACAAACCCCTTCCAACACGGGATATGGCTATTTCCCTCTCGAAACACGAGTTCAAATAAATTATAGGATTTTATTTTTATATTTCTATTGAATTGTAAAATACTGGTAATTGTTGTTTTGAAAATGTTTTTGACGAAGAGTGAAATATAATATGTTTACAGGTCTTCATGTTGGTGGCAAACTAGACTGACTTAAAGTTGTTTTTAAAAAAAAAAGCTCGGATATATCCCAAAATTTAAAAAACAAAATTAATGCCTAAGACAGTTTCAAATACAACTGATGCATTCAGTGCTAATACTAAACCAGGAAGGTAGAATTACTCAGCCAGGTAAGGTGGAATTACTCAACCAGGAAGGTATAATTACTCAGTCAGAGAAGGTAGAATTACTCAGTCAGGGAAGGTAGAATTACTCAGTCAGGAAGGTAGAATTACTCAGTCAGGGAAGGTAGAATTACTTAGTCAGGGAAGGTAGAATTACTCCGGGAAGGTAGAATTACCCAATCTGGAAGGTAGAATTACTCAGTCCGGGAAGGTAAAATTAAAAGCCAGAGAAGGTAGAATTACTCAGACCGAGAAGGTAGAATTACTCAGTCAGGGAAGATAGAATTACTCAAGGGGGAAAGTAGAATTACTCAGCCAGGGAAGGTAGAATCACCCAACAGGAAGGGAGAAGGTAGAATCGCTCAAAGGTAACTGGAAAGATAGAATAACAGAATTTCAGCAATTGGAAACAAATTTTAATTCAGACATTGTCTTGTGTGTGGTCTTGAATTAAAAAGGTTTTGAACCTCCCTCTCTATCGCATGTGGGTTGCAGCAGAAAGTCAATGAGAAATCATTTTAAAAATAGGTTGAAATCAACCAAAATATCAAACTCTAAAACCAAAGCAATTCACAGTCAATTAAAACGTGTGAATTAATTACTTTCCTCTAAATCTGTATGGAGATTGTCTGAAGCCTAAGTTCTGGTGAGCCGTTTTAGACCAATATGGTATTTGCAAACATGAAGGCCTGATGTTATGAGAATTTATTCAGGTTTGTTTAAAGAATAAAGTATTGGGAACTCTCTGTAATAACAGAAAGAGACAAGGAATTCAATGAGAATAATACAAATGTTCCATTACAGAATTGATATTGCAGGGTTCTGCTAATTACCTATATACATATTTTAAGGCCAGATATTATGTCAGGGGTTTGTCGATGAAAAACGATTGTTCAAAAGGGACTCCACAAAATTCTGAAGCCATGGTGATTCCATGAATAGGGCACAGACTCAATAACTAGGATGTCTTCAGTGTCATCCCAATGTTAACTTGGGAATTTCTAGCAAGATTTCTTTTAGTAAGTATCTTTGTCAGTCGTTTGGATGGACAGAAAAAACAAGGTCCGTTATATATCCCTAGGAAGTTTGAAATCGTAATAACAGTAGGCAGCAACCTGGTAGTCTAGGCACAGTTTCTTCCATAGCACACTACATGGTGTATGTTCATTAATTAAACTTCATTTCATTTCTTTTGAAATGAAGAAACCTGAACTAAAACAGTGGAGTCCCCTTTAACTAATTAAAGTATTTTTAAACTGGAACTAAGTGACTGTCATATTGTAAAATACTTCATTAAAACACTGTAAACTTATTAAACATGAAAAATTAGATGACATGCTCTGGACCAACGTTTTCACTTTCAAATTCTGCCAGCTGGTTAATTTTTAACATAATTTGTTTAATCTCAGTTTTAACATTATCCCATATTTTTATATATTTCTTAGTGTTTTTCCCCAGACTGTGAAGTTAACTGTCTTGACTGTGTTTTATGGTTAAATTCTTTGAAATTATAATTTTGCACAATGTAAATTGACTGGTGAATTTCACTGCTAGTCAGGTAAAGTAGCTAAGTCTCTAACTCAAAATCATCCAAAGTCTTTGACATTGAAAACATGAATTATTTGTCAATTTTAATCAACATCGATTTTGTGATGTTACCAGTAAAGATAGGCTTCTGATATCTAATATTTAAGACGTCTTGTCTAACGGTGACCGTTCTAAGCTGGAGAGCCTGCGCAGTAGACTGGAATAACCAGATGCTAGAGATTGCCATTCGATTGAGATTTCTGGCGTATTTCACAAAACATATTTGATTAGAGATTACAGTAAAAACGGAAACGATTGAATGTAAACCATTTTATATATATTTATTCATATTATATTATTATATGCATTGCGACCGATTTGTGTCAATTTCTAGTTACCAAATATTAGTGACTGACAGATATGACCGAAACAGAATTATTTTTTGAATTTTAAAACTTGTGAATGCTCAACGAAATTTTTGAAATTTCTTGAGGATGTCGGTTGGGGCATGAGGAAGAATTCTATGTAAAACTATTATTTAATTAACCGCTCTATGCATCATGTATAAAGTTTACATATTAAAAGTACTTCTATATAAAGCTTTTACTGTCTGACACTCAAATAGTTCCAGCTAGTTTATATGGTCTGCCATAAAGATCATGGGTCCAATTTATATCAACCGCCTTGATCAAAAATATATTAATATTGCATGGTTATATTGTTTTATCATTGTATCAAATCTGATGTACGTATTAAACCTGACAAGCCCCTCGACTTTTAACGTTATACCCATCCAATCTCATTTTTACTTCAGTTATTTTATTTATATTTTAATTTTGTTGAGTTTCTCGTAAATAAAGAAAATAAAATAATGATTAGTTTTTGTTCATTTGTCTAGTATAGGGTTAGGGTTAGGTACATGATTCAATCAGGGAGACAGAATTTATACTCAGAGGGTCAAGGGTGGATTTTTTTATTCAAAGGCACAATTACGCTTAATTATCTTTGGGGGAAATCTTAGAATTTATACTCTTGAGCAGTGGCACAACAATTACACTTTTAGTCACCTTTTGGGGGAATCCAATTTGGATCACAGAATTCAAATTAAATGTCCGTGAGATATATGCCTAGGACAACCACATGCAGTCACATGCCCAGAGAATGATATCTAGATGTTTAACCAATGAAATGGGTTTTAACTTTAGGACTACTTTTCTGCACCAACCGGGCTAATGAGGAAGGACATATACCATGCAGTGTATCAGAGGGACATAAGCCATATATATGCCATGCAGTGTGCCATGAAGGAGGACATGTGTCATGCAGTGTGCTATGAGGGAAATTTTGCCCAGACAGTGGCATTCATTTCCACTTGCTCTTCATCGAGAGACAGAGATGGGGTTTAACGTCCACTCGACACAAACTAGTTAATTTCAGGACTAACATGGTTTAACTTCAAAAATTTGCTTGCGCGTAGGGGTCTTTCGCAGTGGGAGGACCCAAAGAAAACCCACGAGGCTGGACAGGAGACCCTACTCCTTGTGACGTACAACCGGGGCATCAAAACCCCGCCAGTCGACTCAATGACAGATCTTATTAAATGTGATTGTTGTGCTTGTGTACATAGGATCTGGTTTTTGGTAAATCTGAACAACTAGACAGTTGTCCTTGCCAGGCCCTGCACCACTGACCAGTGGCGGCGCCAGCCGTCGGTGATTGGAGGGGCAAAGCAGGGGCAAAGTCCAAGGTTAAGGGGGCAAAGGCACAAGCTTCAACTAGGGATAGGGGGCCTCCCCCAGAAAAGTTTGAAAAACAGGTTGCCAGAAATGCAGCCTGGCAGTATTTCAGGCACTGGTCGATGAGGTAAAGTGTCAAACGAACGGACTTGCGAATCTTGACGAAGCCCACGCACGAGCGTCAAAGTAGTGAGTCCTCCCCCAGAAAATTTTGAAAAATAGACTGCCGGAAATGCTGTCTTCCAGTATTCTGCCAGGCACCGATCGTGGAGATATATAGATCTGCCCAGATACCGTTCGTCGCCTGATCACTAGTTTATCCGACTAGAGAACAAAATGTCAAACGAAACGGACTTGCGAACCTCAACGAATTCCCCTTGTGAGCGCCAAAGTAGCGAGACCATTGGGGACCTCGCCAAGAAAATTTTGAAAAATAGACTGTCGGAAATGCTCTACAACATGCAAGTTTATGACTGAGTAGGGATGTGGGATTTATTCACCGTAAAAGGTATTGATTACCGAAACGTATCACAAATACTTGTTTTTATTTTCTAAAATTATTGGGAGGGCAGACTAGATTAATGGGGGGGCCCCCCCCTTGCGCCGCCACTGCCACTAACAAGGGGAAACCACATCCAGAGGATATTTTCCGGACAACTCTGGGTCGAACCCACAACCTCTTGCCTTACTCTCACCCTCTTTATCAAAATGAAGAAAATAGCTTATAAATATAATGTTTATTTATAAAATAGTATCAAATAACCAAAAATATATCACAGATTAAAGTTCTGATGAGGAAATCAGTTGTTTAACTCCCGACTTCGACTTCTTTTTCTTACGTGGTTATGACAGGATTCCGCTTTTTCAATTTCCTACAAAAATTCAAAATCAATCTATGACAAGTGATGGTAATGGCCAATCTGATTACAATACAGATCTATTTTTCGTTTCGTTTTTTTATACTTTCGATGACCTACACTACATGAAGATCTGACAAGTTATAGTGATAGGTCACGTCAGGGGTCAAAAGACTGACTTATGACCCTATGACGTCAGATATTTGATTAACCAATCAGCATTGATGTTACTAGTGGATTACCCACAGTTCCGGGAAAAAAAGGTCAAACACTCGATTCGACAGACCATTTGATTGGCTGACCCCTCATTTCAAGCAGAACACGAATTAAATAACAAGTCTTCCAGATCCAAGTGTAGTAAAGACAAGTAAAACGAAATTTTGAACTATAAAAACAAAACAAAATAGGATCTGTGTTTTAACCAGATTGGTTAATGGCATAATGTCTAGTAGAATAGATAAAATTATATTGTCCGGGTAGAAAGCCCACAATGTTAGGTATGTGATGCTAGTCGTGTCCCATTAAAAAACCCACAATGTTAGGTAGGTGATGGTACTCATTGTCCCAGTAGAAAGCCCACAATGTTTGGTAGGTGATGCTAGTCGTGTCCCAGGAGAAACCCCTCCAGTTTAGGTAGAAACCCAGATAATATGTTAGGTAGATGATGCTACTCTTTGTCCCGGTAGAAACCCAACCATTAAGCCGACCTTAATATTTCACAGATGCTAAATTCACTTCAAATTAATGCTTAGAAACCATGGGGGTTTAATGTCAAATCATCACAATAAGGTCTTTTCGGGACTCACATATGGTACAATTTTATTTCAATAATTTATTTGCATATAGGAGGGATCTTTCGGATTGTAGGGAACTGGAGAAAAGCCATGGTGCTGGATGGGAGACCCACCTTCTTGTCCACACAAGCTAAATGATAAGACTTACAACTAACAATGTGTTTTCAATCTCTTCATTTTTCCTCCCAGGCGAAATCAAATTTGATTGAGTATTTAATTATGAATTTCAAAGTGTTAATGTTATTAAATCTTTATCTATATTTTAATTAATCTTTATCTATGTTTTGATTGAGTTTTAATTAATCTCTATCTATATTTTGATTGAGTATTTAATAAATCTCTATCTATATTTTGATTGAGTATTAATTAATCTTTATCTATGTTTTGATTGAGTATTAATTAATCTTTATCTATATTTTGATTGAGTATTTAATTAATCTTTATCTATATTTTGATTGAGTATTTAATAAATCTCTATCTATATTTTGATTGAGTATTAATTAATCTTTATCTATGTTTTGATTGAGTATTTAATTAATCTTTATCTATATTTTGATTGAGTATTTAATTAATCTCTATCTATATTTTGATTGAGTATTAATTATATCTATATTTTGATTGAGTATTTAATTAATCTTTATCTATATTTTGATTGAGTATTAATTAATCTTTATCTATGTTTTGATTGAGTATTAATTAATCTTTATCTATGTTTTGATTGAGTATTAATTAATCTTTATCTATATTTTGATTGAGTATTAATTAATCTTTATCTATATTTTGATTGATACATACCTGTCGTGGAAACAACCATTCTAAAATCATAAACAATAAGTAATTGAGAGCAATCCCCAATACATAGACTTTACCAGCGACAATACCAAACTCATAATACCTGAAAATATATACATCAGGGGCCATAATTCAGAAATTATTGCAAATATCGAAAGGAACCAAGATCTTTGGATTATAAAGACACATTTCAAGTTTCATCAAAATATTATAAAAATTGTGACTTCTAGAGTGTCCACAAACTAATAACAGGATTTTTCGTACAATCAGGGGCCATAATCCATGAAGTTATGGTCCAATACATACCCATATCAATAGGAACTAAGATCTTTGGGAGATAGACCTATATTTCAAGTTTGGATAATTGGATAAAATCAAACAAATTCTGGACCGATGTCCGGACAAATATGGGCGACAGCATAATATATAAAGATATATATTTACGTTTTAACTCTTTGTTTAAAGTTTTTGGTAGTTTTATCGGAGATCTTGTTGTAGACGGTTTCTGTTCTCTTCGCCACATTTTGCCACGTATAAAGTTGACTTATTCTTTTATGAATTATATCTGGCTGTATAATGTTGACTCCATCTTTTATTTCTTTTATTGATTCTTCTAAGGCTTCTACTAATGCTATACAAAAATAAAATGAAATGAAATGGGGTTTAATGTCAAACTGTTCTGCGCCGAACAATAATATTGTTACACCAGGGACTGGTTACCGAACACTACACATATTGTTGTTTTTCTTGGCGGCAACACGTCTCGATACAGTCAAGAACTCTATCAATATTACATGAAACTTGGTATGCTTGTTTGTTGGATGTTTTTAGCAGGTTACACACAGTTGCGTGCACCTCACGCCAAAAACTTGCCATAACAGACCGTTTCATTGGCTAATCCCTCACATCATCCAGAATCCTAGTGTAGTAAAGACAAGTAAAACAAAATTTTGAACTATAAAAACGAAACGAAATAGGATCTGTGTTTTAATCAGATTGTTTATGTATATTTACTATAAGTGAATTTAAAAGAGAAGGGGTTATTTTTTTCGACATGGTAAATAATTTTACGTACCATTTACACTAGGGTCTGCTAGTCTAATTAAATCTGGTGGTAAAACTTCTGGTACACCACCGACGTTTGTACTAACTACCTTTAACCTATAGAAATATGAACCACTAGCATTAATTACCTTTAACCTATATAAATATAAACCACCAGCATTAGTACTAACTACTTTTAACCTATAGAAATATAAACCACCAACATTAATTACCTTTATTAAACCTATAGAAATATAAACCACCAACATTAGTACTAATTACCTGTAATCTATAGAAATATAAACCACCAGCATTAGTACTAATTACCTTTAACCTATAGAAATATGAACCACTAGCATTAACTACCTTTAATCTATAGAAATATAAACCTCCAACATAGTAGAGAGAGAGAGAGAGAGAGAGAAATGGGGTTAAATGTCCGCTCGACACAAACTAGGTCATTTCGGGACCGACACATGGTTCAATTTTATTTCAATAATTCGCTTGCGCGTAGGGGTCTTTAGCAGTGGGAGGACCCAGAGAAAACCCACAAGGTTGGACAGGCGACCCTACTCCTTGCCACGTACAACCGGGGAATCGAAACCATGGCGGTTGACTCAATGACAGACCTTATGATACAGCGTGCATGTGCTAACCATTAGGCCATTCAGGCCCCATCAACATAGTACTTAACTACTTTTAATCTAAAAGTCAAATCTATCTTTAGGTTGTTTAATGTCCGCTTCCTCATAACACAGAAAAATAAACAACTCATCACATCAATACAGGATGCAGACCACCAGTTACCTCCCTATATCGAATTCCAACTGCCAAGGGATCTTTTACGAGCACATCAATATGTACACGGGAGCTCGGTTTTTCGTCCCATAAAAACAACTAGACAGCTGTCCTTGTCAGGCCCTCCGTCCTGCAACACTGACAAGGGGAAACCACGCCGGAAAATCGGGATGAACTTTCTCAGCCAATACAGGGATCGAACACCCGACCTCCAGGCTAGCGAGCCAGCGTCTTACCCACTTAGCCACGTGATCCCCCCGATACCCACGAATGTAGTTCCTGTTATATACAGTCACAGAACCCTCTACATTTTCTGTCTGTTTGCATTGTATTTTCTTGACTTCTTGGTCTAGAATCGAATAAAAGGGTTTGAATTGAAATCGTCTGATAGAATTTGGCAAATACTGATGACTTAGTGGTGGTATGTTTAATCAATTCAAGAGTTTGGTGACATTGATATGTACAGCAGACAGTTGCATATTTACTAGCACCTGTTCAGTCCAACACAAATTTGGGAAAAAGTTAGAGAAAGGCAAAGAGACATTATTTGTAAATAGGAAAATCTTTGGTGGTCTGCATCCTGTATCATTGCTGAATACAATGGGTGGTCTCCCTTGACACAGCAAATTTATATCAAGAAGAACTTGTTAATTAAATTAGAAACATAAGACAATAGACATCCTTCAAACATTGAAAGGTTAACTATTATTAAAATATATACAAGATGTAGGTGTAATTAAATAAGATGATACCAGGTACAGATTGAAAAAAAACTTACCCACAACAAGCAGCTTCCACAATAGCTATACAGAATGCTTCTGTTAATGATGTATTTAATAATATATCTCCTTGTACTAACACCTGACATAGAAAACAGTACTTAACACCACTAGAAGGTTACAGTCTAATATTATATACAATACAGTCTAACACTGTACACACTACAGTCTAATACTGTACACACTACAGTCTTAACACTGTACGGAATACTTTCTTATTGATTTATTCTCAGTCAGTAATTAAATTATTTATGGTAAGAATTGATAGTCAGATTACTAATCACTTTCAGATTATTATTTTATTTGCTGTTGATCATATGATAAATATAATATTTTTTATATAAAAATAAGTTTTCAGGTTGCATTAAGATAACCTTATTACCTACCCATGGTAAATAAATGTTAATTTTTTATAAATTGTTGAAAAGCCCAAAGGTTTTGGGTTTCATTAGATGACCTAATTAACATCAGGGAATGTATCTTGAAAAGAAATAAGAATATAGAGAGAGAGAGAAATGGGGTTTAACGTCCACTCAATACAAACTAGGTTATTTCGGGACTAACACATGGTTGAATTTTATTTCAATAATTCACTTGCACATAGGGGTCTTTAGCAGTGGAAGGAAACCGGAGGACCCGGAGAAAACCCACGAGGTTGGACAGGCGACCCTAAGGTACAAAGGTTTCAGGTTTCATTAGATGACCTTATTAACATGAGGGAATGTATGTTGAAAAGAATTAAAATATAACCTACATCTCTAACTTGACTGTGTTCTAGAGCACCTTGTAACTGGACTCGATCATGGAGTTGATATTGTTCTCTTACCTCCTCTAAAATTAATTCTTTAGGCCCTGATCCTCCTGTTCAAATAAAAACATAAAATAACACACTCAAACTAAAGACAAAACACCTTATGCTGGAAATAATTAGAGAAAAACGCCTGCTGAAAATCTCACGCTGTTATTATACATATAAGGCAACATTATCACTACAGTTTTCATGTATCTTAATATTTTCTCATTCTTACTCAATGCTGAATCCGCGTCTCAAACACGACTGGTTCTTCTTTCAAGTTTCTTAGCAAACATTTGTCTTCGATATCATCCTCGTTGGAAGCGGTTACTAACCTCCGCTAACCAACGAACAAAGCCTCGATGTATAGAACATAGTCAAGCTAAGATTCTTTCAAGTTTTTTAGCAAACTTAGTTTCGATATCACCCTTGTTGGAAGCAGATATTAACCTCTGCTAACCAACGAACAAAACCACAATGTATAGGACACAGTCAAGCTAAGATTTTACAGCCGCTGTGAATGAATACCTACCTATCAAAAATTGCACATCTGGGTATTTTTGGGTTATTTTTGGAATAATACCAGCTAATAAGTCTATACCTTTCCTGTACACTAACCGACTCACTAAAACAATTGTTACTGAAAAATACAAAATATCAAAAAAAATAATCTATGAATACAAATATCTTTTAACTTAAACTAGGTCAAATTGGGACTAACATATGATACAGTTTTATTTAAATAATTCGCAGGTGCGAATTACTGAAAAATACAAAATATCAAAAAAAATAATGAATGAATACAAATATCTTTTAACTTAAACTAGGTCAAATTGGGACTAACATATGATACAGTTTTATTTAAATAATTCGCAGGTGCGTAGCCTGTAGGGGTCTTCATGTAAGTGGGTCATAACCACGCCACTTGAATCAATTATAGACCTTATGATCTTAAGCGTACATGTTAGATGACCACCCAAATCAAAAATTACTATGACTTCAACATAGCTCACCACATGGCGTATGTCTGTCAGGATTAGTATGTTAAACCCCATTTTATTTCCGGATTAGTATTTACACTAACTATAACAAAATTTACTTAAACTTTGTGTCCGTTGACTAGAATTAGTGTTGGCACTAACCATAACAATCTTTACTTTTACTGTGTGTCCGTTGACTAAAATTAGTATTTGACACTTATCATAACAAACTTTACTTTTACTTTGTGTCTGTTGTCTAGAATTAGTATTTAGACTAACAATAACAAACTTTATTTATACTTTGGAGTCTGTTGTCTAGAATTAGTATTTACACTATAACTATAACACACTCTAACACATTATAACTAGAACACACTCTAACACATTATAACTATAACCCACTATAACACATTATAACTATAACCTACTATAACACATTATAACTATAACCCACTATAACACATTATAACTATAACCTACTATAACACATTATAACTATAACACACTTTAACTACAGTGCACTCTGTCACATCCGACATCGTATGGGGACGTTACAATATGTCGGATTACGCAGAGTGTCGGAATACCTATTTTTCTCAAAACCGGAAATATTGTAACCTCGAAAACCGGAAGTATTATTATAATGTAGCTTCGAATATAGAACTTTGAATCACCAGAATGTTATTCCCTTTAAAAATGATAAACCTTTCTGTGCATTCAAAATTTTATGACATTATTTTTTATTTCATTTAACATGCGTAGGCATTTTGAATAGGTCAAGTCTGTCGTTAATTTATCTTCTTCACCGTCTTCAGTTGATGCACTCTTGTCTTTGCCTTCACGTGTTTATTGATAATGGGCGTACTCGATTGAACGAAATCGAGTGAATATTTTTACGACTGTGAATTCGGGGGAAAATTTGTGGATATTCTTGAGTATTTGTCACAACTGTCGTAAAAGAGATTAAAATTATCAAAGTTATCAACACGGTAGCGAGTTTTAATCTCACAGATAATTGATTGGTGATTGCTTGTTAATCTTTTGTGGCTTCACACCCATCCAGTTTTAATCTCACGGATAATTGATCGGTAAGTGTTTGCTTCACACCCACCAATTGAAGGCCGGATTATACGGTGTCGATTCAATGGAAATCGTATGACGGGACGGCTGATTGATGTCGTAATCCGGAATGTACAGAGGTCAAATTACCCAGAGATTTTTGGGCTGAAGTAATAAGGAAATAAATCGGGACATGAAAATGGTGTCAGATGTAACAGAGTGCCGGAGTGATCAGAGGTCGGATGTGACAGAGTGCACTGTATAACGATGAAAAACTTTACTTTTACTTTGTGTCCGTTTTCTAGAATTAGTATTTACACTAACTATAACAATAAAAAAGTTTACTTTTATTTGGATTACGTTGACTAGGATCTGGTGTAAACATGGTAGCATCAACAGCATTTGGTATCACCGAAACATTGTCTGGTTTAATCTGTGCACGTAAAACGGTATTCTCCTTACTTAAATATACAATAAAAAAAAAAAATATACAAAGACCAGAAGCTACAAATTATATAATTAAATCAATTATCATTAATTTTAAAGGGGGATAACTAACTAGAGAGAGAGAAAGAGGGAGAGAGAGATGGGGGTGTTTAACGTCCACTTAACACAAACTAGGTCATTTTGGGACTAACAGATTGTTCAATTTTATTTCAATAATTCACTCGTGCGAAGGGAGGAAACTTGAGGACCCGGAGAAAATCCTGACCCTACTCCTTGTCACGTAAAAGCAGGAAATCAAAACTACGCCACTTGACTCAATGACAGTCAATGATTTCATGTGCATGTGTTAAACCACCCAACCACCCATTAAGAGAATATCTAACAAGACTTCAATAGTACATCTTGCTCCTGGCCCCAAGTTCACAAAACATTCTCAGACTTAAGTTAAGAATTTACTCAAAATTGTTTGCTTTATTTTAACTAAAATTTAGAGGTTTATAAAACTTTTGTTGTTTTAAGGTATCAAATACATCAATAAGAAACTATGTGCAAAGTTTTGTGTTTCTGGATCAAAGATATTTCTCATAAACAGTGATTGAAATTTGAGTAAATTCTTAACTTAATTCTGAGAATGCTTTATGAACTTAGGGCCTGGTCTATATAGTAAGAGGCAGCCATGGTGGCTAGTTGGGTAAGACGCTGGCTCGCTAGCCTGGAGGTCGGGTGTTCGATCCCTGCATTGGCCGAGAAAGTTCATCTGGATTTTCCGACGTGGTTTCCCCTTGTCAGTGATGCAGGACGGAGGGCCTTACAAGGACAGCTGTCTAGTCCTTCGGATGAGACGAAAAACCGAGGTCCTGTGTATACATTGGAATGCACGTAAAAGATCCCTTGGCAGTTGGAATTCGATATAAGAGCAGACGATAGTGCTGCTGCCCGGGCAAAATTTCCCTCATAGCACACTTTATGGCATATGCCTGTCTTCATAAGCCCAGTATAGGAGCAGAACAGTAGGACGTTAAACCCCATTTTATATTCTGGCTATAATATTTAGAAAATAAATAATGAAAACAAAATATGCTGAAATTTCACTCAAATTGCTCCACTCTCAACCGAAATATCAGCCCCTCTATTTTAGGTTAGTCTCGGTCATCATAACTAACAGAGGTACGTATGATAACAAACAATGTCTCGATTATCCATTTCTACGGTAACTGCATCCACCAGAAAACAGATTTGAATCCAGTAAATATCGCTGGCATCCGATGGCATCGAAAGTTGATTATGGTTTGGATAAGTTAATTAATGTCTAATTAATAATTTAGTTAACATTTCAGGCTTAAAGAAAGACCTGAAATAGGCAGATTTAGATCTTGCAATATGTATGTTTAATCTTCTAGGATTACAGGCTATAAGTGGCATCAGATGTTCTAGATGGAGTAAGTAACTGAATGGATAATGAACTACTGAGAATCTTATATATATATATATAGAGAGAGAGAGAGAAATGGGGTTAAGTGTCCACTCGACACAAACTAGGTCATTTCGGGACTAACATATGGTTTAATTTTATTTCAATAATTTGCTTGCGCGTAGGGGTCTTTAGCATTGGGAGGAAACCGGAGGACCCGGAGAAAACCCACGAGGTTGGACAGGCGACCCTACTCCTTGCCATGTACAACCGGGGATTCGAAACCACGCCAGTTGACTCAATGACAGGCCGCATGATACAGCACGCACGTGCTAACCATTCAGCCATCCAACCCCCCTAATCTCCTAGGATTACAGGCTATAAATGGCATCAGATGTTCTAGATTGAGTAAGTAACTGAATGGATAATGAACTACTGAAATGAAATGAAATGAGGTTTAACGTCCTACTGTTCTGCTCCTATACTGGACTAATGAAGACGGGCATACGCCATACAGTGTGCTATGAGGGATATTTTGCCCGGGCAGCGCCACTGTCGCCTACTCTTATATCGAATTCCAACTGCCAGGGGATCTTTTACGTGCATTCCAATATACACACGGGACCTCGGTTTTTCGTCTCATCCGACGGACTAGACAGCTGTCCTTATCAGGCCCTCCGACCTGCATCACGGACAAGGGGAAACCACGGCGGAAAATCTGGATGAACTTTCTCGGCCACTTAGCCACGTGATCCCCCTAATAAACTACTGAGAATCTTGTATATATATATACATGTACCTTGTATGAGAAACACAGATAACGTGGGTACAATCACCCAAAGAGAAACGTAGAATCTCATTGGTCACAATAGAACTTGCATCTGCAAATCCAAATAAGGAATGATCTGTAAAGACTGTAGGTATCCCCATTGTTCTAGCATGTAGCATTCCTTCATGGGCTAATGTGGAAAAAGACTGAAACAGAGGAGTAAATTGTAAGTTATTAAATATAGCTAATATCTGGATCGATCAGGTGCTTATTAACTACCTTTCACCTTCATTCAGAACAAAGTAATTTGATTGAAATTTTCAATATTCATTGTATTATTATCTACCTTTAAACTATTAAAGATGGGTTCCCGCGTACAAAATGGGTGATTTAATGGTATATAAACTAATTAATTTGTCATAATTATGCTTCAAATCCTTCTTAAACATTGTAATTGTGAAGGAATGCCCTGCTATTAAAATTCGATCAAACCAGGTCATGTTTACGTCACGTCTTGGGAGTCAGAGGAGAATTCATTGCATACATAAGACGATGTTGTCTTTAATCGCTTACTATTTATTACAAATATCGAATCCTAATTAAATTCTTGGATTATCCACTACCCGCGTCTTTTTCCGTCATTTTTATCTCAGAAAGTATTGTACGTCTTCATAAAGTTTATCAACTTGTTCATCAAGCGCTCAATGTTCGCTTGTGACCTTTGACATCATGCGTGCAGAAGTTTCTAATCGTTGGGCTGTTGATTTGGGGAACCCTTACATTTTTGTCCTGTATACGCTCCATGAGTGTTTTTCGGGGAATCCAGTATTTTTCTAGAAAGATTGGATATTTCTACTTTCCATATATACCAAAATTGCCATACTTTTATTGGAAATAACCACCCGATAAATACTTTTCTGGGAACCCATCTTTAAGTGTCTGAAATGTTTTTCAATTCAAATATCAAATCTAACACAATGCTCAGTGACTCAATCTTGGTGCTGGCCAAGCAAGTTACAGAATGATTGTGTCTAATAATATCTGATCAAAACCAAAACTGAGAGAAAGTCTGTATACATAATATCTATAATGATATCTAATACTAATACCAATTAACTTACCGAATGTCCGTGTACAATGGTGATTTCTTCCCTAATATATATATTTCGTAACAATGGAAACGTAACATACATAGTGGGTAAAATACACTGATTATAAAATGGTGGAAACGGTAAATAATAAACCTGAAATAAAATTAACATTGAAGAGAAGTTAATTCCATTTGAATCTAGTCTCTATCATCTAGAAAAATATTCTACAAATATTAGTCTGGATGCGTTGTCAACAATTGAGAATAATAGGTCATTGGTTAGATTATCCAGTCTTTTACATTATCACGAAATTTTAACTAAAGATAAAATCCAAATTTTAGTAGACACTTCAATTTTGATTGGCTAAGCAATAAAACCAATCTAATATTATCTAATCAAATTACTAAAATTTGGATTTTATCATAGTTAAAATTTGGTGAAACAGGTCCCTGGAGTTTTCTTTAAACATACATTATGCAAGAGCTAAATGTGGCTATTGCAGGTCTTTCTTTAGGCCTGAAATTTTATCTAAACTATTAATTAGACATTAATTAACTTATCCAGACCATAATCAACTCTCGATACTATCGTTACCCTATGATATTTACTGGATTTGAATACATTTGTGATGGACAATTTAACGTGAAAATGGATAACCAAGACTTTATTTATTATAATACCAACGTTAGTAATGATGACAGAGACTAGCCTAAAATTGAATGGCTAATATCGCGGTTCAGAGTGAAGCAATTTGACTGACAGTTTCAGCATATTTTGTTTTCATTATCTATTTTCTAAATATCATTATCAGCTCTTTATCTAATCATGCCTTATGCCCCTTTAAACTAAATGTTAAATAATCAATTACAGTACATTTAAGAATAAGCAAGGAAGAATTAAGATATATGTCTACCCCTCCCCCCCACCCCCCAAAAAATGTTTTAATTACCTTTAAGCCATTGGATAAATAACGAATACCTCTTCTTTTTTTGCCGTACATATGAGTTACAACAATAACTTTATGACCCAGGTCTAGCAGACACTGTGATAATTGATATATATGGCTTTCAACACCACCCATATTCGGAAAAAAGAAATCAGATATCATACTGAAATAAATAAAAAAAACAGGTCATTGATATGAAATGGTGGATATGTAACAGTATGTATTTGTTGATATGGAAATGAAATGAAATGAAATGGGGTTTAACGTCCTACTGTTCTGATCCGACTGGGCTAATGAAGACAGGCATACATCAACGGCCTACCCTAACGTCGTTTGCCCATGACCTCAGTTTTTTTGCCCAAATAACTATATGATATTCATTGGCTAGCTCTTGTCCTGGTCCACTGACACGGAGAAACCACTTTGGAAAACTTTAAGGAACTTTGTTGGCAAACACCTGGATTTAACAAGAGTACTCTTGGTTAGCGAGCCAGTGTCTTACATGCTGAGACACCTTGCTCCTTTTAATGGTTAGCACGTTCGTACTGTATCATAAGGGAGAGAGAGAGAAATGGGGTTTAACGTCCACTCGACACAAACTAGGTCATTTCGGGACTAACATATGGTTTAATTTTATTTCAATAATTCGCTTGCGCGTAGGGGTCTTTAGCAGTGGGAAGAAAAAGGAGAATCAGAAGAAAACCCACGAGGTTGGACAGACGACCCTACTCCTTGTCACGTACAACCAGGGATTCGAAACCACACCAGTCGACTCAATGACAGACTTTATGATACAGCACGCGCACGCTAACCATTCAGCCATCCAACCCCCCTGTATCATAAGGTCTGTCATTGAGTCAACTGGTGTGGTTTTGATTCCCGGGTTGTACATGACAAGGAATAGGGTCGCCTGTCCAACCTCGTGGGTTTTCACAGAGTCCTTCGGTTTCCTCCCACTGCTAAAGACCATATGTTAGTCTCGAAATGACCTATTTTGTGTCGAGTGGATGTTAAACCCCATTTCTCTCTCTCTCTCCTTGCGGCTCCTTGCCAAAAGAATAAAGCCCTTCTTCTTTCTCCAGTCATCAGTTTATCCATGTAGGAGTTACAATCAGGGTTCTCTCTTCACCATTTTGACAGCTGTTCAATTTTTGACGTATTTTGTTTCCTTTGAATTAACATGACAATTTCAAAGATTTTGTCAACTTTTTAAAATTATCTCAATTTCAAAATTTATCTTTATTTGTTTCTACAGGTAAAAACTATAATTTTACCTGTATTTACTGTGATTTAAAGTTAAATTCTATGAAATCAAAATTTAATGACATGTAAACAGGTAAGTTTTCCCCTTCGGTCTACATGTATTTCACTGCCAGTCAGTCAGGAGTGGTAGTCCTAAACTACCACAAATGGTAGAAGCTGTCAAGATCGGCAAATACGACATTAAATGGAATTGCTACAGTGTGCTATGATTAGGGCTGCAACAATTCACAACTACCTCGATTCGGTTCGATTGTCGATTTTAACCATTCGATTCGATCATTTTCGATTCGATTATCAGCTACAATAACCAGTAATTTTTCCTGTATATAATTCATTAAAAACAATAAAAACACAAGACTATGTTTGATTTCGTTTTTAGTTTTAGAGTTAGACTGCAGGTCTTTCATTTTTTTTCATATGGTAAGGTGTACGTTGTTTTTATTTGAAATTTAATTTGCAATTGAACCGAATCGAAATTTGAACGTTGTAGATCGTGGATCGAACCGAGACGGCTAGTGACGGTTATCGGTGCACCGAACTGAATCGTTGCAGCTCTAGCTATGATGAGGGAAATTTTGCCTGGACAGCGACGCTATGGCCTACTCTTATACATATACATGTATCGACTTACTATTGTCAAGGGCTCTTTTATATTTGCGCCAACATGTACACTAGACCTCTGCAGCATATATAACTTAAAAATTAAACCAGGGCCCTTATTCACGAAAACTTAAACTAAGTTACAACCGAAATTTTAAGAAATACTGCAACTTCATTGGATATATGCAAATTGATTTTACTGGTCAGCCAATCAAATTGCAGTATTTCTTAAAATTTCGATTGTATCTTAGTTTAAGTTTTCGTGAATAATGGCCCAGATTTTATCTGAATAGCCTTATTATATATTTTCAACTCACCATATTGAATGTTTCTTTTTGGACGTCTTCATAATGGTCGATCCTAGTAAAATATAATAAGCTCAATAAATGTAGATACTTTAACCAACCATGGAAACAAAAGATAGAAATATTGTTTTAATTACTGGTACCCTTGAAACTGTACTTTACTTTATCTTATTCATTTTTTCTTTTAATGTTTAGATTATACTGACCAACACAGCTAGAGTGGTCCTGTCATTCCCAGCTTGTATGTGACAAGGAGTAGGCTAGCGTCGCACAAATTTTGAGAGGATGTTCAGGGGAACTAGCCATGACCGCACACCAAATATCAGACGAATCAATCTATCACTTTTCATTTTACTGACCTTTTAGGTTCTACCGAGAGATATGTTTATCTGTTCGACACCATTTTATTTGGCCGCCTGTCCAACCTCGCGGGTTTTCTCCGGGTCCTCCGTTTCCTCCCACTTATCTTTTTTAGTTTAATAGGATAATCAAAAAATCGTAATATTTACCCCTCCGTAGCCTGTCATCTAAAAGAAGAGGCTTATAACTAAATATCAGAAACAGGAAAAATTATTTAGTGTAGGCCAAATCTAGAAGACTTGTAATGAAGATAATAAAAACTTTTCAGGAACATTAGCCGATTAGGCAGCTGGTAAAGTACGGTATTAGAAATTCGATATTCAGGCTCCCAAAGAGGATTTATTGAATGATTTAATTAAATTAACAATTAGAAAAAAATAATATTTACAAATTAATTTAACATATAAATGTTTGAATAATTGCCGAAATAATATTATACTAAAATAGAATAAACAGCCGATAATATTTGTATTCGTGGATAATGTAATAATATTCTAACTTCATCAAAAACCGGAACTTGGACCTTATGTGGTTTCACACAGGCACATTGAAGAGCGCGGGGCACATCCGGTTATTGTTTTGATCGTAAAGAAAGGGTTGAACATTGTGCCATTCTGGAATATATTTTTCTCCGTGGTTGAATAAAGCCTCAAGTTTTCCAGACTAATATGTCTGAAGGTGAAAAATGTGGTCTTGCAATGAATGGTGGTGATATCCCACCCCCAAATCTTGCGCTGGATGGCGATATTTTACAGGTAATTTTTCTACGCTATTATTTTATCATGAGATCAGATTTCTGCTCGATGAATAGAATACATGTATTTCTCGTAACTAATAACATAGATGTATGGCTAAGCCACTTTCACTTTCAACCAGTAAATAGAATTATATGATTGATTTTAGATAAGAATATAATGGTGGTGGGGGGGGGGGCACCACATTCCCTTGGCTGCTCGATCAAGATCAAATATGATGCAGACGGAGGGAATAATCGACATGAAGATGGAGTAGTCTTTGCTAAACAGAGGTACAATTTACAAACAGACTTACATGCAACAAATCGACTCTCTTTCTTCTAAATTTAGACACCCCCCCCCCCCTGATAATAAAGTACCAACTGGTATTGAAAATAATTATTGACAATCTAATATAGCCTACATGTAGGCACAGGGGATACCTGACAACTCATCCCAAGTTAGAAGACAACTCATCCAAAAATAAAAGACAACTCATCCCAACTTTAAAAAAATACACTCATCCCAAAATACATGTAGTTTTGTTTAATACATGGGTCAAGATATAAGACCACTCAGACCAAGTTATGAAGATCACAATTAAATACCACAACAAATATTGTATTTTATTTATCATTTTTATTTATTAGATTAATCAGTAATATAAGAATTTATTACATCAACAATTTATAAAGATAATAATATTAAATTATTATTTGTTACGTCAACAATTTATTAAATAATATATTTTATTACCTCAACAGTTTATTAAATTGTTCCTTAATACATCAACAATTTTATTAAATAATACATTTTATATATGTATAAAAATATAAAAAATACGTCCAGGTAAAAAATTCTCCACTTTACTTCATTCTGACATACATTAAATCATATAAGCTAGCTGTCTGTCTTCTATGGGTGTCTTCAGATATTAATAATGTAATGTATATATATTAAAATAGATGGGTTTTTTTTCTTCACTTTCTTATTAAGTTTTTACTTCAGTCAGTTCGTCATTTTGTCGGTCCATGGATTGCTCCACATCTTTTTAATAACTATATAGGTGTCAGCCATCCTTTCTGCGTACATCCATCTTGAAAAACACCTCCGGAATATAGTTGTTGCTTAAAACTCTTCATTGAGCTGGAAAATAATGTTTACATTATTTAATTATTATGAATATCAAGGATATTATCAGTTAAACATACATTATGCAAGAGCTAAATCTGTCTATAGCAGGTCTTTCTTTAAGCCTGGAATGTTATCCAAATTATTAGATACACATTAATTAACTTATCCAGACCATAATCAACTCTCGATATCATCGCTAGCCTGCGATATTTACTGGATTAGGATCCAATTTGCTACTCAACTTTCATTCATGATTAAATCATGAAATGGATAATTAAGACTATGTTTTTTATTGTACCGACTTTAGTAATGATGATCGAGGTTGGGCCTAAAATTCAATCGCTAAATTCTTGGTCCAGAGTGGATCAGTTTGCCTAAAATTTTCAGCAAATTCCCTTTACATTATGTAGTTTTTAACTATTACAGTGAGAACTGCCAGCTCTTTATCTAATCTCCCATAATGTATCTTTAAATGATGATTAAACTGATGTTGGGATGAGTTATCTTTGGGATGAGTTGTCTGTATACCGACACGGACACTGTAAAAAAAAAATAGCATACATGTACATGTAGTTTCCACTGTATTCCTTAAAAATAACAGTCCTATCATTGTGTATAGGCTACAATCAATTTGGAATGTATGACAGATCTCAGATCTTTGGCAACAAGAACCTAATAGTAAGTGCAGAAGGACAACACTACATAAAACAAAAACTTATAAGACAAACCTGCGGACAAGATAAACTACATGTACACAGACATTACAAGAAATAAACAACAGATATTGAATCAAGTGAACAGATCTGGGGCCCAGCCTTAACCCGTTAAGCGTGACGTTTTTAAAACGTTAACTACCCCTTATTGTGTAATTAATTTGACGAAGTGACGAAGAACTATGTACTATGTTCTAAGAATAGGTTGGGGAAAATACCTCCAATGCGATATATTACGCCCTACACACAGTGAGTGGCAGTTGTCCAGGACGTAATATAACATCCTACACATGCTGCGATCGTGGGATTCCCCCAAGTGACGAACTATGTTCTAAGAATAGGTTGGGGAAAATACCTCCAAGGTGTTATATTACGCCCTACACCCAGTGAGTGGTAGTTATCCAGGACACATACACTTAACGGGTTAAGCGTCCACTGCACTGTAATATGACCATATAGTGATCAAATCACATCCTTGTGAAAATTTATGAAAGGGGGAAGATCTCTAAGGGACTTGTGCTGACATTCCATATTTGATCTGTTATTAATGCGTTATTGAAACACTCCCATGGTCATGTCCCATCTCCGACCCACTCCTGATGAAAAATAAGTATTATTTGGTTTTGTTCATTCTTTACAGCAAATATTACAAGCAAAAACTGGGGCACCAAACAAATTTCAGAGTTTCTGGGAAATGGATGAAGAAGACATTGATGAATTTACAGAGGATGAAATTGAAAGTATGTTTTTTTGTTTTTTGGCTTCTAGATTTAAAGTTGATCATTAAAACATTATTTATAGTTTAGAGCAGAAAAATTAACTTTTAATATCTCGTCCAATCAGTTTCAGATTCTGACATCTTCATACAGATAAAAAAAATATAATCGAAATGTAGAAAATTAAAAATTATAATTAAAGAATCTGAAAATCATTTGAGTGATTTTGACTCCCTTGCCATGTAAAATATTGTCCTGTCCAACCTCGTGGGTTTTCTCTGGGTCCTCTGGTTCCTCCAACTGCTAAAGACCCCTAGGCGTGAGCGAATTATTGAAATAAAATTAAACCATATGTTAGTCCCGAAATGACCTAGTTTGTGTCGGCCATTCCCCCATTTATGAAGCTTTTCTGGTTATCTTTAAAACACATTTTGATTTACATTTATTATTTTATTTTTTCTTCAGATGAACCAAAGAAAAGAATATTATGGGCTGCTGAAAATAATAAATTAGAGATTGTTGGATGTTTGTTGATAGAGGACCCAGGATTGGTTAATTCTTGTGATAATGATCATTATACCCCATTACATAGAGCTGCTTATAATGGTCACGAAGAAATGGTTAAAGTTAGTACATATTTATTCATTTGTTACATAGTAAATGAAATGGGGTTTAACGTCCTACTGTTCTGCTCCTAAACTGGGCTAATGAAGATGGGCATATGCCATACAGTGTGCTATGGGGGAAATTTCGCCCGGGCAGCGGTGCTACAGCCTACTCTTATATCGAATTCCAACTTCCAAGGGATCTTTTACGTGCACGCCAATGTTTACACGGGACCTCGGTTTTTCGTCCCCTCCGAACGACTAGACAGCTGTCCTTGTCAGGCCCTCCATCCTGCATCACTGACAAGGGGAAACCACACTGAAAAATCTGGATGAACTTTCCCGGCCATTGCAGGGATCGAACCCCCGACCTCCAGGCTAGCGAGCCAGCGTCTTACCCACTTAACCACGTGATCCCCTTGTTACATAGTATCAAAGGATCTAATGATAAAGATGACAGTGGATATGACGTCTTTATTTTAACAATACAGGGGGGTTGGATGGCTGAATGGTTAGCACACGCCGCTGTATCATACGGTCTGTCATTGAGTCAACTCGCTGGGTTTCGATTCCCCAATTGTACGTGACAAGGAGTAGAGTCGCCTGTCCAACCTTGTAGGTTTTCTCCGGGTTTCTCCCACGGCTAAAGACCCCTACGCGCAAGCGAATTATTGAAATAAAATTGAACCATGTGTTAGTCCCGAAATGACCTAGTTTGTGTCGAGTGGACGTTTAACCCCATTTCTCTCTCTCTCTCTCTCTCTCTCTCTCTGTTTTCAACAATACAGGAACAAACATTAAAAGTTATTACATCTATAAATAGTATAATTCTAACAAACAATACATCACACAGGAAGATAACATCATAACAAATTGAAGTCATCGTCCTGTCCTGTACAGCGGTCTGCGTAACAGTCTCGTGATAAACTTGTCTCTCAGTAAGCTTGCCTGAGTTATGGTTCTACCTGAGATCATTTATACCGATCAAGGTGTTATCAACAACCTTATTAGTAATTAACAACCATTCACAAGTTATATATATTAGAAGCCTTTATTTAACGGACATAGATGTGTGATAAATCTGACTATACCATTGTCTTACACATTCTACAATATTTTAAAGGACTGGAAATGATGATTTTGTACAGGGAGGTGGGTGATCTAGTGGTTTTAACGCTTGCTTGTGAAAACATTAAGTACGTCATTGTCTGTCCAATCTCAAGGGTTTTCTCTGGGTCTGGCAGTTTCCTCCCACTGCTAAAGAACCCTACGCTGAAGCGAATTATTGAAATAGGATTTAACCATATGTTAATCTCGAAATGACCTAGTTTGTGTCGAGTGGACGTTAAACCCCGTTTCTCTCTCTCTCCGTACATGAAAAAATTTCAGGCACTAATGAACTAGCAGCTGACTACCATTCATTTATAAAAAATATTAGAACAGTTGAGGAAATAAGTTTTTTTTATTTGTCACACCTGGAAATACAACACCTCTAATAGGTGAGGAAATGAGGGTTTTAGTTGTCACACCTGGAAATACAACACCTCTAACAGGGGAGGAAATGAGTGTTTTAGTTGTCACAGCTGGAAATACAACACCTCTAACAGACATTGTCCTGCACAAATTCAGGCTTTGTCAAGGACAACCCTGCTGTCATTGTGCCAAGCAGAGATTTAAAAATATAAAAAGACATCTATCTGTGACTAGTGATCGTTTGTTATTTACTCTGTAACTATTGGCAACAGCACATTTAACCCTTTAGAATTATTTTTGCTTATGTAGGCTCCTTTATAAATCATGCTATATTATCATATCAGTATTATTTGAAAGCGTTTTATTTGTCAGAGCTTAAACTGTCAAAATGTTGAAACAGTGAGAGAAATAAAGGGGGTTTATCGTCCACTCGACACAAACTAGGTCATTTCGGGATTAACATATGATTCAATATTATTTCAATAATTTGCTTGTGCGTAGGGGTCTTTAGCAGTAGGAGGAAACGGACAGACCCAGAGAAAATCTGTTTAACCACTAGCCCCCCCCCCCCCCCCTCTGCCCAATGCATATTACAACAAGTTATTTCGAATTATTGCCATTGTGGGGCGTTGGATGGCTGAATGGTTAGAACGTGTGCACTGTATCATGAGATCTGTCGTTGTCCGGTTTCGCGGAAGCGAATTATTGAACTAAAATTGAACCATGTGTTAGTCCCGAAATGACCTAGTTTGTGTCATTTCTCTCTCTCTCTTTATTGCCATTTTATTAATCTCTTGGATTTGATTCTTGTATTACAGCTGTTGTTGTCTAAAGGTGCTAATGTTAAAGCTGAAACAGAAGATGGCTGGCATCCATTACACAGTGCATGTCGTTGGAACAGCACAAGCTGCGCAGAAATTCTTCTTCAGAATGGAGCAGATATCAATGCTGTCACCCACGGTGGTTTGACCCCCTTACATCTTGCTGCATCGCAACCCGAGAATCGAGAAACTATCGAAATGCTGCTCTCACAACCGTCCATTGATACGACCATTCGCAGCAAAATAGGAGAAACGGCCCGGGAGATTTGTTCCAGAGCCAGCGACCTACATAAGTTGTTTGAAGTCGCTGATAAAAATATCAACGAAATCAATTAAAAAGGTTGTGAGACGGATGATGATTTGTCTTTTATAAGATTATATTAGAGTAGTTATTTTAAATATATTGAGGTAGATTTACAGCCCATTATTCTATTAAATTCTTTCGATGTAAAGCCAAGCTTACATGTATGTCGCCCTTGCAACGATTAAGAACTATATTTAACTGGCATATCTTCGACTGTAGAAAAACTTTTCAGTCGGAACTAGTCTCAGCCAGTTTGACTTTGTTTTTGCTCTACTTTTGAGTCTCGTTGCGGACATTTTTACTCAGTCTCAAGTGCCATGAATTCATCTATGGCCATCAACTTTTAGCACAGGTCGAGCTCGCCAATAGGAACTGGTTTTAAAAGACACATGATAGTACTACAAAATGGGAAAACCCCTATTTTGTTTTTAGTCGACAATACTGGTCAACCTTCTTGCTGGCGTCTTGATCCCAGTTACAGTCCCAATTAATCAGTTTTATCAGCGTCGACCTATCTATGATCGTCAGCGACATAAGCTTGATGTTTTTACTTATGTGTATTTCCGAAATAAGCACAGCGTAAAAGCTAAAATTCCACAAGTTTTATTTTAAGGCTTGAAGTTAATTTTATTTGTGTTGCTCACTTTGATCAACATTCCTCTATCTTTATTTCAAACTTTAGATTTTATCAATCATTTCAAACATTAGATGTTATCAATCATTTCAAACATTAGATTCTATCAGTCATATCATCTAGGATAATAAAGCACCTGTCACATACAATGTCAGGTAATAAAACACCTGTCACAGACAATGTCAGGTAATAAAACACCTGTCACAGACAATGTCAGGTAATAAAACACCTGTCACAGACAATGTCAGGTAATAAAACACCTTGTCAAAGACAATGTCAGGTAATAAAACACCTGTCATAGACAATGTCGGGTAATAAAACACCTGTCATAGACAATGTCGGGTAATAAAACACCTGTCACAGACAATGTCAGGTAATAAAACACCTGTCACAGACAATGTCAGGTAATAAAACACCTGTCACAGACAATGTCAGGCAAAAGTTTAGGTTTTGTCCGGCACACTCTCTATGACGTCAGTAATTTTTAATCTGGCATCAGTTTATATTTTGTCAATTTTTTTTATTGATATGTTCATCCACATGCCTGGCACCGAATTCAAAAACTCAGATAATAGTTCATTAGTACCTGATATTATGTCAGGTACAGATAAATTATTATTTTCAGGCCTGGTGATAATTATTTAACCACACCTGTAATTAATGAACATACCTGTAATTAATTAACCCGCCTGTAGGTTAGATTAAAAGTTTCAGGTGTTTTATTCTACCATGTCTAATTCTGGGGGAAAACATTAAAAGAAATAAACCTTGATGTTTTTTTGCCATTTTATTGTAAAATGAAATGCGTTGTGATGACAGTTATAGAAATATTTCCAGCTGTATACACCTCTCTTATTTTACTGATAGATGTGTATACAGCCCTGAGCTAATGTTATGTTGGTTTATACAGCCCTGATCTATTGTTATGGTGGTGTATACAGCCTTGAGCTATAGTGATGGTGGTGTATACAGCCCTGAGCTATAGTGATGGTGGTGTATACAGCCCTGAGCTATAGTGACGTTGGTGTATACAGCCCTGAGCTACATGTATAGTGATGTTGGTGTATACAGCCCTGAGTTAAAGTAAAATTGGTTTATACAAATTACCATATGAAATGACTATGTACATATCTATATATATTTTATGTTTTGTTTGAGTGTTTTTGTGTGTTTTAGTTTTTAGTTATATCTATATATAAATTAACTCAGTCACTATTTTTAATTATCTTTATTTTCAAATTGTAGTGATACTTAAATTATTTAAGTACGAGAAAAAACTTTCCTACGACTTTTTCAGTCTATAATTTTCCTTACATATAAATATGGATCATGCACCAGGCATGATACATGAATCTCTAGAAATTCAGGTTTTATTTTTATTGTACGATAATTGTATATTGACAGTATTTAACAACATGTTGTATATCACACATTCAACTTCTTAGTATCGATGGATGACGTCAGGATATCATTTTGAACTATAGACAGTATAGTATACTGTGTATATCAGACATTCAACTCATTATTAATTTACAACTAGAGTCTTAGTTCATATTTTATCATAGTACATCCCACGTGTGGATCGAGGGATCTTGTTCAATTCACAAAAGGCTGATTGTCAGTTTTATTCTTACTGACTTCCACTGTATCTTGGGGGATAAATCTATTTGATAAGGTCAGCTCGCTGAGGTGTAAATAAGGCTAGGGCACGTGATTGTTGGCGAGATTGTAGGTTAGGGTAAGCATTGGGGCCAAGTCCAGGGTTAGGGTTGGAATTAGCGCTAGCCCTATTTTGGGTGTCTATAACGGCCATTAATTTTGATTGGTCAATAACTGTGAAGCAATTTCGGACTTACGCTGAATGACATAGTTGATAATTGAGGCTACAATATGGCTGGATAACAGAGTCACTAATTTGAAGATCGTGTGATAACGACGACGTGTCCATGGATCATAAAATGGCAAATGTATGATTAAAGAACGTAGCATGTTTTTACCGTGGGCGGTTCGACAGAATGTACGTTATCGGACTTATATACCCTCTGTGTTCGATACCTGAATTGGCCGAGAAAGTTCATCTGGATTTTCCGGCATGATTTCCCCTTGTCAGTTTGTGGTGCAGGCCTGACAAGGACAGCTGTCTCATCGTTCAGATAGGACGAAAAACAAAGCCGTGTATACATTGGCGGGCATGTAAAAGATCCCTTGGCAGTTGGAATTCGATATAAAAGTAGGCCATAGTGCCGCTACCCGATCAAAATTTCCCTCATAGCACACTGTTTGGCGTATGCCTGTCTTCATTAGCCCAGTCGGAGCAAAACAGTAGGATGTTAAACCACATTTCATTTCATTTTGTATACCCTTTGTACGTAACTTGAGATTTGATTAACTATCGGTGAAATTGATGGGCTAGATAACTTAACCTGTCAGTCAATTTACACATCATAAAATTTGAATATAAAGGAATTTAACCTTAGTTTTATGTGGAAAAACATTGAAAACTTAATTTATAAATTAAAAGAGATTAATACAATTGAACAAAATGTCTTATATATCTTCTGAAATAGGTGAAAATTTGATCAAAATGTGAGTCCTGCACTGTAGAAATGCACCCCAGTACAAACACTTACAAACACTCCTTGCTATAAACACTCCTTGCTATAAACACTCCTTGTTACAAACACTCCTTATATAGACATGGGACCCATTTTAACAACATTATTTTCTAGTCATTTGTGTTATAGTTTGACATCTCCTTCATTCAGATCACCTGTAATATTTTATTTGTGTTTAATTTGCAATTTGTATGATATCAATTAATGAGCTAATGTTTTTATTTTCTATAAAAGTTTTATTCAGGAGAAAACATAGTAATACATTCCATAGGAAATATTTCATTAAGCAATATATGCTGGGTTTGTTTCATATTAGCCATGCAATTATTATCATGCATATTAGCTAAGTTTGTTGCATTTAGCTAAGCTTGTTACATTTAGCTAAGCCTTTTACATTTAGCTAAGCTGGTTAAATTTAAATTAGCTTGTTAAATTTAGCTGAGCTTGTTATTATAATCATGCAATTAGCTAAGCTGGTTAAATTTAGCTAAGCTGGTTAAATTTAGCCGAGCTTGTCAAATTTAGCTAAGCTTGTTAAATTTAGCTAAGTTTGTTAAGATTATCTTGAATATCATCATGCATATTTGATCTTGTTTCGATATGAAAGAAATGTCAATCTAACTTTATTCTGTAAATTAATTGTAATATTTCTAATCTTATGCAAATGTTTTTTTAGACATGTTTTAATCCGGTAGCAAATAGGATTAAGTTTTTAAAATGTGGCCGTCATATTTACCTGGCAATGAAATCGATCCACTGGATAACTTACCTGTTAATTAATTAACATCCAATTAGAATTAGAATTTCAAAGAATTTAACCTTAAAACACTATGAATATAGTTTTATTTTCTTAATTCAACAATCTGATTAAAACACAGATCCTATTTCGTTTCGTTTTTTATAGTTCAAAATTTCGTTTTACTTGTCTTTACTACACTAAGAGTTGTTATATAACCCGCATTCTGGATGATGTAAGGGATTAGCCAAAGAAAAACGATCTGTTATGGCGAGATTTTGGGGTGAGGTGCACGGAACTGGGGGTAACCATCTAGAAACATCAATGCTGAATGGTTAATCAATTGTCTGATGTCATAGGGTCAAAAGCCGCTCGTATGACCGCTGAAGCGACCTTCCACTACAACCGGTCAGATCTTCATGTAGTAGAGGCCATTGAAAGTATAAAAAACGAAACGGAATATAGATCTGTATTTTAACCAGATTGATAATTAAATGTTAAATAATGAATTTGAATACATTTAAGCATGGATTAAGCATCAAAAAAATTAGATATTGTATGAAAAAGACAACTTTAATTGCTGGACCATGAATTTCTAGTTTTTCAGTAGATTTCTTGTGTAATATAGTTTTTGTATTGTTTTTTTTTTTTATCAAATTATGGCCAACAATATTCTGATAATTAAAATCAATTATCTTCTGTATTTGTCCTATTAGCACCGAACTACTGTTCCTTGGTCGTCCTAAACCGTCTGTCAACTGGCGTGGTTTCGAATCTCAAGTTGTACGTGACAAGGAGTAGGGTCGCCTGTCCAACCTTGAGGGTTTTCTCTGGGTCCTCCGGTTTCCTCCCACTGCTAAAGACCCCTACGCACAAGTGAATTATTGAAATAAAATTAAACCATATGTTTGTCCCGAAATGACGTAGTTTGTGTTGAGTGGACTTTAAACCCCATTTCTCTCTCTCTCTGTCTCCCCTAAACCGTCTGTGTTAGAGAGAGAGAGAGAGAGAGCGAGAGCTAAGGTCCTCTCCACGACCACGCAGGGTGTTGGGATGGCCGAATGGTTAGCACATGGGTGTTGAATCATGAGGTGGGTTAGGATAAGTCGAATTTGTAGTTTTGTCAACTCGACACTAAACGACGAGCAAATGGCTTTTACATGTCAGTATTACTTTACTATATATTGGATTGTAATCACTATTGTTATTGTGTATTTACTGTGTATTAGATCTTGATCAACAATTAGTCTCTGATTCAACTTTTCATGAATAAGATACCGTAGTTGAGCCATTGTAAGGACCATCCTTCCAGATAAACCACTGTTTATTGATAAAGTGGTTGTGCCATTGTAAGGTCCGTCCTTCCAGATAAACCACTGTTTGTTAATATTGTAGTTGTGCCATTGTAAGGACCATCCTTTCAGACTAACCACAGTTTAATAATATGGTAGTTGTGCCATTGTAAGGACCATCCTTTCAGGCTAACCACAGTTTATTAAAAAGGTAGTTGTGCCATTGTAAGGACCATCCTTTCAGGCTAACCACACAGTTTATTAATAAAGTAGTAGTGTCATTGTAAGGCCTGTCCTTCCAGATAAACCACTGTTTATCAATAAGATTGTTGTGCGATGGTAAGGACCATTCTTTCAGATAAATCTTTATCTATGAATAATGTAGTTGTGTCATTGTAAGGTCCGTCCTTTCAGACTAACCATAGTTTATTAATGAATAAAGTAGTTGTGCCATTGTAAGGATCCTCCTATCAGATAAACCACAGTTTATTAATAAGGTAGTTGTTCCATTGTAAGGATCCTCCTATTAGATAATTCTTTATTTGTGAATAATGTAGTTGTGTCATTGAAAGGCCTATCGTTTCAGATAAACCACAGTTTATTAATAAGGTAGTTGTGCCATAGTATCCTTCCATCTGTCTATGAATAATGTAGAGGTGCCATTGTAAGGCCCATCCTTCTAGATAAATCACTGTTTAATAATAATCCCTGTCTGTCCATATATGTACATCTTGTTACATTATGACCTTTAACCCTGGCTGAAGTGTTCCTTAAACTTGTGATGTTATAAAAGTATTTTTTTTGTAATATTTATAATGAAATGCCAAGTACTTTCTGAAAGTGGTTTTATTTTTTTCTGATAAATGTCTCATTTATACCCACCATGTTTATAGATACAGTGGACGAAGTGCCAAATACTTTTTGTTGTCTATTACTTATAGATTAGTTGAACCAGGAACTGGATCCATGCGCTACTCTTCTTCTCCTTCTTCATGGTAGCGACACGCTTCCAAAAAACATTGGCTGAGAAAGTTCATCAGGATTTTCTGACGTGGTTTCCCCTTGTCAGTGGTGCAGGATAGAGTTTGACAAGACAGCTGTCTAGTCATTTGGATGGGACGAAAAACTGAGGTCCTGTGTACACATTGACTTGCGCATAAAGGATCCCGTAGCAGTTGAAATTTGATATAAGAGTAGGTCGTAGTTTAGCTGTCCGGGCAAAATTTCCCTCAAAGCACACCGTATGGAGCATGCCCGTCTTCATTAGCCCAGTGGGAGCAGAACAGTGGGATGATAAACCACATTTCATTTTATTTCTTCAAAAAACGCCTAAAGCTCCGCTAATTCAAGTACAATAAACATAATATTTGGCGTGCTTGTTCTTTGGACAATTGCGCTACGATTTGCGGTCCCTATTTCAAGATTGCAGCGATGGCGTCAGTTCCTGGTCCATATAATACTGTCATATTTGTTTGAGTTACTACTATTATTATCAAAATGTTTTTATGTTGTATACGAACATGTTTATTAGATCTTATTTTGTAGATAAATGTTGTATAAATGATAAGATACATATCTAGGCTACTAGAAACATATCTATATTTCATCAACTAACGGTGTCCGTAGTAGATTTCCTTCCAGTCTGATATGATATTCAGATGGCTACATAAGAGCTATTGCAAGATTTTTTGTTGACTTCACGTGTTATATAAATTATTATTTAGCCATTTATTAACATTACAAACCCATGATCGACTCTCTAGACAATCGGATGGCCGAGATATTAAATGGATTATAACTACCGTGCTATTTAATAATTTAATGTTTAAATGTATAATCAAGACTTTGTTTATTATCGTAGCCATGGTACTTGACAATCAAGAACATCTTGTTAAAACTTCAAACACTTTTAACTTTGCTCAGACTAAAATAATTTGACTGAAAATCTCAATATATTCTTTTTTCATAATCGATTTTCAAACTATTATAGCAAGAACGGTCAGATCTTTATCTAAATCTTACACAATGCTGAATGCATCTTTAAGCTCTGACAAGTTGGATATTGGCTGAAAAATTCGGGATAGGGACCGGCAGCCATAACAATAATTTAAAACAATTTCATCCACATCATGAAATAATGACCATGAATAGAAGTATTGACAAACTCATTATGCATCTTTAAAGTTACAATTTCATATTTTTAAGTTATATTTTTAAAATGTATTAAAATAAAGCCCTAAAATAGATGGTATCTATAAACAGTCCTACCTTGTTAAAGAATAATCCTATTAATCCTATAATTCACTATTGCCAGTTGAGAAATTGGCAAAAGTATCATTGTCAACTTCAAATTCAAACGTTTGAAGATAGCTATTCCTTGGTGGGGAATAGGAAAACAAGGGAGGTAATTGTGTTATTATTTCCGATGTGAAGATTTTTAAGTGTGAGAAAGATAACCTATGATCATATAAAGAGAGTTGACAGCCTATTGAGGAAAAGACATAGAAATAATTATGTTTTGACTTTCTTAGAAAATATGAAATTGTAACTTTAACATCATTCATTGTTGTCATTGTTAAGTTTATAGAATCGGCTCACCTGTTAGTTATTCACCAAGTCCGAACTTTTTTTCTTTTTCTTTGTAAAAAGGTCTATTTTTATGTCATAAAAGTAGAAAAGTATAGTCTTGCTCAACCAGTTTCTAATTGGTGAAACAACAACAGGGTTAAGGTATTAATTTAGTCTGGTTGAACAAGACTATGGTAATAGAAAAGGCCGAACTTTTGCCAGAAATACTATTTTTTCACCGATGATTTTGACTTGACAGTGTATGACGACGATTGCTTATATAATTTATATTTGACACATAACCTTTTTACAGCTTAAAAATATTATAAACAAATGTTTTGCATGTATTTTAATAAAACTTTACCACAGCTTAATCTCATTCGTTTATTTTTGTCCAGGGGGTTGGATGGCTTAGTGGTTAGTACGTGCGCGCTGTATCATAAAGTCTGTCATTGAGTCGACTGGCGTGGTTTCGAATCCCTGGTTGTACGTGACAAGGAGTAGGGTCGCCTGCCCAACCTCGTGGGTTTTCTCCAGGTCCCCCGGTTTCCTCCCACTGCTAAAGACCCCTATTGACCCCTAAACAATTATTGAAATAAAAATAAAACCATATGTTAGTCCCGAAATGACCTAGTTTGTGTTGAGTGGACGTTAAACCCCATTTCTCTCTCTCTCTCTGTCGAAGAAGAAGAAGAGCTAGAATGTTCAAACTTGGTGTAGTTGTTTATTAGGTCAATTCCTTGATGGAGTTTGAAGATGAGCATTTTTTTTATTGTAGATTAACTGTGGACTGTACAATCTGATTAAAATACAGATCTATATTTCGTTTCGTTTTTACTTTCAATGGCCTCACTTGTAGTGGAAGGTCGCACAAGCAGCTTTTGACCCTACGACATCAGACATTGATCAATCAGTGTTGATGTTTCTAGTGGGTTACCCACAGTCCTGCACCACTGTCATGGGGAACTAGTAAGCTGTCGACAAGGCCCTCTCGTCCTGCACCACTGTCATGGGGAACTAATAAATTGCCGACAAGGCCCTCTCGTCCTGCACCACTGTCATGGGGAACTAGCAACTTGCTGACAAGGCCCTCTCGTCCTGCATCACTGTCATGGGGAACTAAAAAATTGCCGACAAGGCCCTCTCGTCCTGCACCAGTCATGGGGAATTAGCAAGTTGCCATTAAGGCCCTCCCATCCTGCACCACTGTCATGGGGAAACAAGGAAGTTGCCAACCAACTTTTGGACGGAAGATGAGACTTCCTAGTAAGTGGACCAGTGCCATGCACACTAGATCGTGCACAAGATTCTACTAAGTGATCAAGGGCAATAACTCATCAGATATCATGCTTCTTATATATGTACACAGCCTCTATAACATTAAAAAAAAAATCACAAGTTATTGTAGACATAGCATTGGGGGGGGGGGGGGGGTGACAATAATATTATCAGTGAAATTTCTCCCTGTATAATAAATATAAAAATAAACTCGATCTATATGGACATATTAATTTTATTCAATTTATACACATACATATTTATATATAGAAACAATATATGCACTAAATCACATGACGTAATCTCACCAAGTTAAAAATGCTCTTCAAGTGATTTTAATATACACAAATTATTTATAAACAGATTAGAATCTTTTGTCTTTTTAAAAAAACATTTGTAGTCGGTTTTGTATTTTTTACATGTTTCATAAACTGGAAATGTACAGCACACAATTCCACTAAACAGAACTACTGAGTGATGCTTGCACTCGGCTTCTCTAGTCTTTTATCAATTTTTATCAACAAAATGATAACTTTGAAACATCCCTCAGAAATAAACATCTGTAAAAGTTTATATTCTAGCAATATAGTTGATAAACTTATGGAGCATGGGTTCCATGTCGGCCGTATATGCCGGTCATGACCGGGAGCTATGGAAAATGACCGAAACTAGAGTTGACCAATCGGTCATTTTGCTGGCTGGAGATTTAGTCTATAATGTCGTGAAAAGAGAACACGTACCTACGATGAGTTTGGTAATAAAACGGGATATAGTGTACACATGACTAAAGGGGAACAAGGTTTAATATAATATAATATAATATATTATGATATGTACATAAATGCAGAATAGATACAAAAATATACAATGTTTATATAAAATAATCAAAAGAGAAGTTATTTTATTCCATCCTCTGATTTTAATAACATGGAACGAGAGTAATAAATTACCATAAAATGATAAAAATAATGCTTAAAAATTAAAATGAGCATTGATTTATGACTTATATTCAATGTTAAAATCATTAGAGTGTAAAACACTGAAATATTATTTTTATATCCATTAATCAAATGAGCGATATAGTGATATAGGAATCTCTTACAAACTACAATGTTATAAAGATTGGATGTCTAATAGGAATGCCAGTCCATAAATGGTTATATTAATTTTGTTTAATTTTTTACATAATGTGATGGACTGTAATATCATCAATCTAGGCTGCTCCTTATGTAAACAAGATCACCACCATCTTTATGGTTTGCAAAATCTAACTGATTTTTTTTTTTCAAATCTGATTGAATTTGGCGACTATTTAGCATTGATAAATCGATTTTGTTTTTTTCTAATCAAATGTTAAGTAATCAAACTGCATGGTTTAAGCCACGAAAAATTTGATATTTTCCGAAAAATGCAAATCATGCGCAGTTTCTTTAATTAAAACATTTATAAAGAATTTTATATTTTCTCACTAACTAAAATTCTCTGTGCATCATTTGTATACTGTTTGTATGAATGTATTGAGTTGTCTATGTAATATGTATTATTAAATGTATATGACTATGTCTAAGTGTATATGTATGCATGCGGTCCTTCATGTCCTTCATGGACGTTTTGATGCAATAAACATCTTATCTTATCTTATCTTTGTATATGAAGGAAAATATCAATTTAATACTCGCTAAAATGTATTCAAACTAATCATTTAACATCCAATTAAGAAAACAAAATCAAAATATCAACGCTAGATAATCTTTGGGAGATTTAATTGGATTTAAACGAGGCTCATCAAAAGATTCAACGAAACTCATAGATTTCGCTGGCTTGTATTGACTATATATCATCTCCAGTGAATCTTATATCTTTGTAAATATTGAATGAAACTGAACAATTTTTGGATTCAATTTTCATAATATTGTTGTTTACAAGGGATTCCTGAATTTCTCAAATGATAATGGGAGACGTTAATAGAATAATTATTAGCAAAGAAAATAATACATGGTACAACAGTTTATGACAGCTGAGGTTGATTATTTCTAGACTGAATAATTGGTTGAAAGGAAACTTCTTTTGACGTGAAAATTAGATTTTTAATGAATTAAAAGGTTTTAGTTTTTAATGATTTCCTGCAAATACTTGTATGAGGTTGATTACTCCTAGACTGAATAATTGATTGAAAGGAAACTTCTTTTAGTATGAAATTTTTATTTTTATTGTATTAAAAGGTTTTAGTTTTTAATGATTTCCTGAAAATATGTCACTGAATATATCCTTTATATATATCATGGAACGATTGAAATCACTAGTACACAATTATAGCACTAAAAACAATGATACAAATTAAAAACAATAATAAACAATATTAAATAAATTCTTTCTTTAGGTAAAGTTAAAGGAATAATCAGAAATGATTTTTCTGAAAAATCAAGATTAGGCAGAGAAATTTGTTTTTCTGTAACTTTGTTTTTTAATAAATCTCGCATGCACAGAAAAATATGAATTTTTGTGTAGAGTGTTTAAATTTTGTGCATTCAAAGAGGGGTAACTCTATCAAACATGATAACTGGATGGAGTAAATATTACAGAACAATCAACAAATAAAATTAAAAGTTTAAAATTAATAACAATTAAACTGGCATAATAATAACTTATATTGCTCATGAAAGAATATCATAAAAATAAAATACTAAAATCAAATACTAATTGTGTCCTACTTTTCAAAAAAAAAACAAACAAAATTCTCTATGGTCTAAAGCACACCTACACACCATTGAAATTCCATAATGACATAAAATGTGCTTGCTTTGACTTTTAGCACTCAGTAAGTAGAATATTTTTCTATTTTAATTAAGTACGTTGTAGCTTCACCTTCTAGAGGAAGGAAGCCAGTCTTCTATTCTACATCAGAGATCAATGCAATATCCAGATCAAGTTTTTGATAGTTATAATCAAGTTATTGATATATAATGGTTGTTATAATCAAGTAGTTGATATATACCGGTAGTTATAATCAAGTTGTTGATAGTTATAATCAAGTTGTTGATATATACCAGTAGTTATAATGAAGTTGTTGATATATACCAGTAGATATAATCAAGTTGTTGATATATACCAGTAGTTATAATCAAGTAGTTGATATATACCGGTAGTTATAATCAAGTTGTTGATAGTTATAATCAAGTTGTTGATATATACCAGTAGTTATAATCAAGTTGTTGATATATACCAGTAGTTATAATCAAGTGGTTGATATATACCAGTTGTTATAATCGAGCAATATACTTGTTTTACAGGTCCTGATTCTACACGTTTTAAAATACTGATTCCTACAGACACCTGTAATTGTTATATATATATTTATATATATTTTTAATATAAAGTTATCAAGCTCTATACGATTTAAAAATCCTGAATTCTGGTTCTACATCGTCCTACAGACATCTCTATTCATGTTATAAAAGTATACATTGATGGTAAGGACCCTTAAGTAAACATATTAAGTAACTTTGTATAATAGATCTGTAATTAATTAATTATTGACTAACTAATTATATCATTAAACTGACTTAAGACTCATCCATCTCATCCTATAAAAACAAATATTTACATATCGGGTTAAATTAACAATATCTATAATCAGATTCAATTTACATATGACAGTCAAAATCACAACCTTGTAGGTAAAATCAAAAGTGAAAATTTAACTCTAAATTTGATTCCGCTAAATGATTTATGAATATTTTCACATCATTTAATACACATGATTTCGTCAAGCTAAAACAAATACTGCCTAATTAATTTTTAATATATTTTACAAAAGATGGTAAACACTAATCCTTTACAGGCATTTAGTAATTGGATAATGTGTTATTGTCCTGCATGATTTATGATTAGTTACTGTACTTGTGTGAAAACAGTCAGAAAATCTCTTTGAAACCTTAACCAATATAACATCAGTAATCGTTCTTCAGTGAATAAATTCAGAGAATACTCTTCGAAACCCTCACCAAAATAAAATCACTAATCTTTCTTCCGTGAAAAAATTCAGAGAATCTCTTTGAAAACCCTTGCCAAAATAAAATCAGTAAACGTTCGTCTA